ACGAGGGGAGTGGCGGCTACCACTCCTCGCCCTCATGTGGCTTCGCCACTGACTACATCTACAGTTTTGGCCTAAATTGCCAGTCAGGCATGAAGCTAGCCATCATCGTATCTGGTGCTTCCCCACGATCCTTACTGTTAAGAACTCTGTTCCTCGTCATTGGTGTAGTTTTCGGCATACTTGTTATGTCTGACCTCCTATGATTTTTAATTTTCCGGCGACGACGAAAAGTCAAGTCCTTTGGCTCCAACCATGGGAAGACAAAGTCAACAAAGAACCTCGAGTCACCTTTACTGCTTTATCTGTGTCGTTATTTTTCGTTGGCTAAGATTAAAGCCAGCACCCAAAACTTCAATGATACTTTCATTATTGGTGTTGGCGGGTTTGGCAATGTGTACAAAGCATACATTGACGGCAGTGCCACTCCTGTTGCTATCAAACAGCTAAGACCCGAGTCATCACAAGGGGCCCGCAAGTTCAAGACGGAGATCGAGCTGCTCTCCCAACTCCGCCACCGCCATTTGGTTTCACTCATTGGTTACTGTGCCGTTAAAGGTGAGATGATCTTGGTTTAGGATTACATGGCATGCAGCATTCTCGGTGACCATCTGTATCGTACAGGTAACTCTAAACCTCTTCCTTGGGAACAACGGCTTCAAATTTGTATTGATGTTGCGCAAGGGTTACATTACCTTCACAGCGGTGCCAAAGGCTCCATTATTCATCGCGATGTGAAGAGCATAAACATTTTATTGGAAAAATGGTGGCCAAGGCATCGGATTTCGGGTTGTCAAAAAATGGGCACGACTAGCATGTCCAAAACGCACATCAGCACGGTGGTGAAAGGGAGTTTCGGGTATCTAAACCCGGAGTACTACAAACGTCAACAGTTGACTGAGAAGTCCGATGTGTACTCATTTGGGGTGGTTTTATGGGAGGTATTGTGTGCGAGGCCAGTTCTAATGCATAAGGTGGAGGCTAGGGCAATCAGCCTCGCTGAGTGGGCCAAGAGTTGTCATGGAGACGGGACACTTGATCAAATCATTGAACCAAATGTGAAAGGTAAGATTGAAGTCGAGTGCTTGAACAAATTTCGTTGACATTGCTATAAGTTGCTTACATGATAAAGGAATCAAACGACCATCGATGAATGATGTTGTGAGGGGGCTTGAGTTGGCATTGCAGCTTCATCAAAAGAGCATTGGAAGTCAGGGCGACAATGGGGCTGCCTTTGTCAATGACTGCGGTGATGACAAATATTCCGAACAATGTATATATGTGACAATCTTCTTTGAGATCAACGATACATATGAAAGATGATGAGCAACATTTTACAAAGTGCAAGCAATATTCTGGAAACAATATCTCAAAATGTATATGTTGTATGCTTTTCGGTGACACTCCAGATTCAACATCAACAACAATGGAACTGAGATCCTCAAAATGTATATTAACTGAATGCTGCAACCACAAGCCAGCAAAGAAAGGAAGTATGAAACTATATTGTCAATTGACTTTTGAAATACATAAAGGTCGTACCCAGTGCACAAGGCTCCCGCTTTACGCAGGGTCTGGGAGAGGTGAATGTCGGCTAGCCTTACCCCCATTTATGGAGAGGCTGCTCCCAAGTCTCGAACCCGAGACCTACCGCTCATGGGCGAAGGCACTTGCCATCGCACCAAGTGCGACCTCTATTTTTGAATACATACACGAAATATTTCAGAATTTGATGTTTTGAATCACATTACAAAGACTACAATGGGAAAATCGACTTTAACCACTGTAACATGTTACAAAAATGAAATAGAAAATATTCAGAACAAGCAAGACTTTTCAAAGAAAATGAGAGGTAAAGAAAGCTTAGTTAACTTAGCACAGCTTGTAATTTTTTAACCTTTCCCTTTCTCCTCCATGCGACGATTGTTCTTGTAGAAAAACGAAATGTTATATATAGTGGTCATTTAACCCTCCTCTCCTCTGGCAATGATTGGCAAACTTGGGAAGCTTGCGTACGAAAAGCTCTCCAAGAGAAGCCATCGTGTCCTGCAAAAAAAAAAAAAAAAAAAAAAACAGAACTTAAGACTTAAGATTCGCAGAATGACAGTCTAATGTCTGCCTATCGATGATCTACAAAGTATTTGAACAATATGCATGCTATGTTTCTCATATTTATTTATTTATTCTTTATTTTTATATTTGTGCAACCATGAAAGTTAATTGGATGCAAAATATACCTGACTTCGAATGGCGGCAAACCCTCTTCTGGAAGGCATTGGAAACTGTCACACCCCCAAATATATAACTTTTGACGAGAAGTGAGGTTTTGAAGTAGACCTTCTCCTGGCAAATACTCCAGACCTGGGCAGCTTTCAGTTCATAGCTCTTGAAGAGAAGTGAGGTGTCGAAGTCCCTTTCTGTCCATTGATTCCAAGTAGTTTGGACAGATCACAAGTGCTTAAATTGTTTCATGGCTATTCTAATGTCCTCGCCTGCAAAACCGGGTGCTCCATTTTATGACTGACTTGTGTTGTTGGAATTTGAACAAGTGAAGTATGTGGAAGCAGCATTGCATCATAAAGATGTCGGGTCTGTGCAGCTGTGCTACTTCGTGTCACCTTTAGGCAAGCCTTTGTACCCTGTGGTGGAGAAAAGCATCTCACTGTATTAAAAAATGGAGAACATTCAACCACATGAACTTTTATTTCACACCTTGTTCGCTAAATTTTATGTTGATGATGAAGAAAAAGAACGAAAGGAAAAGAAAAGTGAGAAAGCACACCTCCACATCTTCTGCTAAAAGATCTAATTACGTGCGGCTTTCCATTTTTGCTGCGAATTTATGGCCAGGTTTACAAGAGCATAACATATCTCCGCAAGCTTGATGGTCCCTGAATAAAGAAAATGAGACAACCTGCCAACGCAGAAGGAGGGAAGTACAGATGCGAGTTTGTGCCACCCATATTAGGCTTCTGTAGTTCAAAAATCAACATTTCGAGTCCTCCTGTAATTAGAGGTTTACCTCCATCTGTTTTCACACACTCCTACTACATATGAAATTTTGAAATGCCTGCTTCTTGTGATAGCTATTCAACATGGATGCCATCTCGGATGCTTTTGCCTTACATATCAGCTCAACAAACTCCTAAATACAGAGATGAAAGTAAAATTCAATGGGCACATTGATGATAAAGAATGAACAAAACTAACTATTACGGTTTCAAATAGATCCAATTATTGTTGCTTCGTAAATTAATTCTCTCTAAGAAGTCTATGATTTGTAAATTATATTAACATGATTTTTTTTTTAAATGGTATGCAAACTACATAAAACAGGGATACTGTGAAGGAACAAAACTGAAACATATATTCAGTTAAAATTTGTTAAAACGAAGCATCATATCCTCTGCATAAGATGGTCCATGGTAAGAGAGAATGTAAAATAAAGCTCATCTGCAGTATTCAACTAAAGGTCTATTACCAGTTCACATTGTAAAGAAAAGCATAGATACACCAACTTGAAGATGATAATGGCATTGAAAGAAGATGAGATAGCAGGCCACCGTATTCAAACCATGCCCATATGACAAAGAAATATATCATCCCGGGGTTCCATCATCTTCCTTTAGAGGTGCATCATTTTCAAGCCAAAAATGCTTAGTAAATTGATGTGAGCTAACATCCGTCGCCTCAGACAATCGCCTCTTAAGTTCCACAATAAGGATTCTGCAGTAATGACGCCACCATATTCAAACCAAATAAGTCAGTGCATCACATATATAGGTGAATTACGAATTTTTGTTTGTAAAGAAACTCATCCGCACCAACATAAAAGCCACCATATTCAAACGAAATCAGAATGATTAAAAAATAAAAATAAAATCGTCCTAAGGGTTACCTACATGATATCTCTTGCACCAGCGTGAAGATCACTAGGACATCAGAAGAAAACCAGAAAAGCATGCCACGGCTGTTTACTCATGCCAGACAGGCCTAGTAATTGATGCAAGCTAGCATCTGTTCCCTTGGGTAATTCTACCTTACAGTTCTACACCACAGTTAGCTCGCTGCCACATCCACAAAGGCCATAAATGAGTCTGTCCTGGCACATTGTATTAACAGATACTTAGGATTGATTTTACAAAAGTCTTGATAACTAATGCTGATTCACGCAACCAAGAAATGGTAAAAAGAATACAGAACAGTTGAATAATGCATCAATAATACACATGAGCTACTGAGAAACTAATCTGCAACTTTGATTCTCAAAACTTTCAATAACATTTCTTCTTTTTCTCTGCCCCTCCCTCCCCACTCACTCTCTCTCTCTCTCTCTCATCAACAAGTTTATGTTGGAGATAAATAGAAAGAATGAAACGAAAAGAAACATCAGAAAACACACATTGAAATATTTAACTGCACACATCTTTACATTTGTCAGCTACGATTATATGAGCATAAAGTATCTACGCAAGCATCAAGCTGGTAACTGAATAAAGAAAACGAGACAGCCTGCCAATGGAGAAGGAGGAAAACGTGGATGCAAGTTTGTGCCCCCTATGTCGAAAGCATGCTTTCAATAAGAAATGAATGAAATCCGAAACCGGAATGCGAATGCAGAGACGTGACATATTCCAAAAGTTCTTGGTAAAAAAATTGTGAGTTTTCGAAGTACCATATATTCTGTAAGTGACGCCAGGGATAAGGCTAGAGATTAAATAAGAGCAAACAATACTTGACAACGAAAATGCAGAGATGAGAAACAAATTGCAATATTTGTAATTTCTGAAACGTTAATACATTATTCGGTTATGAAAGAGTACCTAAACATGTTGCACTTTGATGCTTACTTTGCTGGATTGATCCTCTTCATACCATCCCAAAATGTTGATCAATATGTGTCTTCTTTGCTGCAAAGAAAAAATTGATCAATATGCTATGATTCTTATTTCTATTATGTCTTTTATTTTTCAAACTATTGAAGTTAATTAGATGCAAAATACCTGAGAGTCAAATGCCGAAAAGCACAACTTTGTATGAGAGAGACAGAGCTCATATGATGACTTCGTCGTTTATCCGTATGCAAGGAATGTGAGATATCTTGGCCCAATCTTCTCCCGTCTTATCCTCATACCTTTTCTCCAGGGCGGAACAAGAGTAGATCTCCAGGCAAGAAAGAGATGGCGGCAAACCGTTTTCTGGCAGGAATTGGAGTTTTGGACAGTCAGAAATTCGTAGCTTTTGAAGAGAAGTGAGGTGTAGAAGTCCCTCTGTTGGAAGGAATTCCAGACTTGGGCAACGAGAAATATTTAGAAATTGAAGAGAAGTGAGGTGTTGAAGTCCCTCTCGTGGCAGGAATTCCAGACTTGGGCAATCTTCAATACTTAGCCAATGAAGAGAAGCAAAGTGTCGAAGTACTTTTACATCCACCACCGATTTCAGACTTGATAATCCAATGATGAGGAGACCGTTAAGAGTAGTAGGGAGCAGGAGCTGTTCCTTGAGCAACGGTGCCCAGATCTCGCCAGCAATTTCAAAATGTTTAAGGGAGACAAGTCCTTGTAATCCCCACTCCACCGAAGGCTTCACTTTGTCGCAACGTCTAACATCAAAATATTGCAGGTTGGGAGGCAAACCCCCTTGTGCAAATGATACAAGATTTGGAAGATTCGAGATATGCAATCGTTCAAGGGCGGTGAGGGTGCGAATTCGTTCGGGGAACGACTTCAAATTCATGCACGTCCAGACCTTCAATTCTCTCAAGTTGGGAGTGGGCAATCCTCCGTCCGGGAAAGACGCCAGATTTGGACAGTTGCAGATTTGGAGTTGATTGAGATGGCTTAGGTTCTGATCAACTCCTTCAATAGAAAAGGATTCCAGATTCTCACAGCCATCAATTTCAAGAGTTGAAAGTTTGGGGAAAACGCCCAACGGGAAGGACCTCACTGAATGAAAACTATCGTATATAAACAAGGACTCAAGTGACGTCAATTCGGCCATCATCTCATGAGATAAGAACTCTAATGACGACGGTTGGGCAATCCCTGAAAGTCAATCTTCGAAGATATTTCATTTTGGGCAGGCACTGTATTGCATCAAAATTAGAAATTCTCAGTGTGGACAAGAACTTCTTCTCTACTCTCTCTATTAATGGTAACAGACCTGGGCATCCACCAATCTCTATTTCCAATGAATTCTGTAAGTAGTCCATGTTAATACTGGCCCATTCATCATGCAGATGCAGATATTCACACCTATACACCCTAAGTGTTTTCAAGCATGGAAGATGATTGGGCAAGTACCCTCTCAGCTTCTTACAGTAACTTATTCTCAGCACCTCGAGACAAGGAAAGTCTGAACATTGACCTTCACTTGGACTCGGTAGCCAATCCTCCCACTCTGGCATCTCCTTAAACTCTAGCATCTTCAGAGACCGAAAGGGCTGAATTACAGAAGCTCCATTAAGATCACCATAGAATTCATCACCAACTTTCGTAACAAAATTCATCCTTTCGATGCGTAGCTCTTTAAGAGTGGGCAGCTGCCCAAAACTTGGCAAGGACAAACAATACTTACAATCACTGATACACATGAACTGTATGTTCGAGAAGGAATTAGAGCTTCCTAACCAATTTGGGAAGCTGAACCCTCCATAGAATCTGATAGTCAGTTTCTCCAAATTTGCAGAAGGTTGGAGCTTGTCAAGCACATCTCTCTCCTTTTGGGAATCATCGGCTTCCTCCACACCCCATGCCAACTCTAAGTCCTTGAGTTCTTTCTTATCCTTCAAATTGGCTTCCAATGCATCCACAACATGAACTCCATTGTGCAGCTTTGAAATACAAAGTCTTCCTTGAAGATGCTGCAACTCCCTTAATTCTCCAATGCTAGACCCGGTAGATTTCCCCACAACGAAATCAGTTAATGTTCTCAAACTTTTTAGTCTTCCAATTTCCACTGGCATCACTTGTATTTTTGTTCCCCAGACATCGAGGTAATGCAAACTACTCAATTCCCTCATATCTGCTGGTAATTTAGTAAGGGAGCTGCAACCTGCCAACGTTAACTTCCGTAAATTTATCAATTTTGTCATGTCTGCTGGCAGTTCAATGAGAGCATGACAATATGACAACAGCAACGTCTGCAAATTGTAGAGAGTGCAAACTGCACCAGGTAAGCTTACAATTGCCGTCCCGGAGAGATCCAGGTAGCGCAGGTGAATGAGACTGCCCACAGAATCAGGTACTTCAGAAAAATTTCCATAATGTGACAATGATAAAACCCGTAAACGTTTCAGGGATGGCAACAAATCATGTAGAAACTTTTTACTTATGTGGAAGAACGAGCCATATAATGAGATAGGTAGGAAGGTCCGCAGACACTTAGCCCCATTTAATGGCTCAAATTTTTTAGCAGCATCAATTTCTCCCCTATCATATGACAAATGACGAAGTCTTTCAACTTCTTGTGATTCCCTCTCTTCCAACCTGAGAAAAAATCCCCTAGACATGAACTGACCCAAGTCGTTAAGAAGATCATGCATTGTGAAACCATCCTCCCCTGATTTTTGAAGTAGCGATCGTGATACCAGCTCATCGAAGTAACTTCTAGCCGTCTCTTCCATTCTTTGCCCGTTAAAACCTTGTGGAATTAAACCTTCTGCCATCCAAAGTAGAACCATATCTTCCTTCTTGAACTCATAGTCTTTTGGAAAAATTGAACAATAAACAAAACATCGTTTCAACGGAGCAGGGAGATAATGATAGCTCAACCCTAGGGCTGGAAGGATATCACTTTTATCATAAGGTAGCTCCCAAAGACTACTACTTAATAATTTATTCCATTCCTCGAAGTCTCTCTGGCCACGTAATAGACCCCCGAGTGTTTCTGCCGCTAAAGGCAAACCATTGCACTTGCGTGCAATTTTCTTGCCAATATCTTCCAAAGTTGGATGTGCATTGTGGTTTTCGTTTCCAAACGCATGTTTTGAAAGTAACATCCAACAATCTTCATGCGACAAAGGCTTCAAGTGTTGAATGGGGACATTTTTCATGAGAGATGCGACATTTTCACTTCGTGTTGTTACGATGACTTTACTTCCGCTTGCCCCGGAAGTAAAAGGAGTTTGGAGGCACTTCCAATCAATATATTTCTCATTCCAAAGATCATCCAACACAAATAAGAATTTCTTTCCCTTCAGTTGTTCTCTAAGTTCAACTTGAAGCATATTCAAATCTGTCATCTTACAAGGTTCTGAAGTGACCGACTCGAGAAGAGTTTTAGTCACCCTAATAGCATCATAATCTTCTGAAACACATGTCCAAGATCTAAGGGTAAAGTGCTCTTTCACCTTATCATCATTGTAAAGGGCTCGAGCAAGGGTCGCTTGCCAACCCCGCCCATACCAACAATGGTGATGATAGATACATCATCCTCGCTTGCATCATCAGAGAACAAGACTTTTGATAAATTTTCTTTATCTCCGTCTCTTCCATATACACAAGGTTCATGAATCAAGCAAGTTGTTGGAGTTCTATGTGAACCCTTCCTCGCAACATCTCCCGTCAGACCAAGGGCAACCTTCTGTTGCACAAAGCCATCCAGCCTTTGTAATAACCCTTCTATCTCAACATTCATGCTTCGATAAAAATTACTACGAGAAGGAGAGATGAGGTTCCACACCTTGTTGGTTAATTTGTCGGTTTGACCTTCACCTTCCACCTTGCATCGCAAAGCTTCAGTGTCGATCTCATCCAGCAAGTCCTCCGCATCCAAGACAGCATGTTTGACCTCGTCGAGCCATTTTCTCACAGTAAGGTTTGAAATTTGCTTCTCTTCCGCATCATCGAGGACTGCAGAAAGGGTGAGCAGCGTCATATTCAGTTTCAGGAGAAGCCGTTCATCCAGCTTCTTCTGCCGGAACAAGTCACGGAAGTCGGTTGAAACAATTCTGTCACACAACACCTGGATGGAAGCGGAGAGAAAAGCCTCTCCAATCAAAGCAGCAGCCATTTTTTCTCTTGGTTGCTTAGTTTGCTAGTAGCTCGATGGAGAAGAAAGGCTTTTGAGATTGTAATTATTGATGCATCCCAATTCGTAAAGAACATGTGATTGGTCAGTTGACCAAAAAAGAACCTGTGATTCGTCTGTTGACCATAAAAGAACTTGTGGTCTGTAAGACTGTAATTAGTCTTTTGGTTCAAAAGTTGTCCCGTGGATCCAGATCTGGATCTTTTTATTGGTAGCCTACAACATCGTGGCCGTTGATTCAAAGTGGATGCAAATCGTGCGGCCATTAAATTTTTAATTTACACATACAGCGAGGCGTTGCTTAATGGTTTCCAGCTGGTGCTTCTCGTGAAAAACGACGCGCTCTTTTCTGGGAGAGTGGCACTGTAGCATCACATGACAATGCCAAATGATGGTACAGAACATGTGAAATTGTGAGATAATAAAAAGATAAGATAAATGTTTGGGGGATTTTTTTAAAATTGAAACTTTTCTATCTTTTTTTGTCATTTTATAATTTAATATTAATTTTCATGTTTTTATAAATTGTTAATGAAATTGATCCATTATATCAAGATGATTTTTTAAATTGAAAATCGATTAATGTAATATTTGAAAATGATTGTCGTTAATTAATATAGTCATTCCATTATAATTCTGTTAAAAATTATGTTATATACTGATTTGTTACATAAATAGGTCTCACAAATTTAATTTAATAATGCTATATAATTTAAATTTTGAAATTAAAAAGTTATAATAAAAAATAACCTTTTAAGGTCAAAATTAAAATTAAAAAAAAAATCTCCCGTCATCTTCGTCAAGATGGCTTGGAAGATGGCTTGGCTGCCATGGCAGCCCCTATCCGGGTGGCTCGATTTTTGGCACTCGATCCATTCAAACATAATCGGTGCAATTTATTCAAACTTGGATGAAGATGTTTTTTTCCATCTTGAAGAACAACTCTCGTGATTTTGGGTATTCGGTGGAATGATGCATTCGTAGAACTCATAGTATTTTTTGGACATACGAGTCCAAACACCTTCACATGTTTGAGAACTCACCCTCACACTATCTTCTGAGACCCACCTATAAGCCCAACAAAGAGCTTATCTTCCTTTCGAGTCCATGCCCTACCTTTCAATGCAGATCCGGCCATTTGAAAATTATTGAAAAAAATTGAAGCAAAGATTGTTGAAAGAGGTAAGAAATGATGTAGGAGAGAAATGGTGTAAGATGGTATAGGATTGTGAAAATAATGTGAGAAGTGATGAAGGAATGACTTAGGTATTTATAGGAAAAAAAAATAGGATTTTTTTAATATTATTTTTTTTAAATTTGTCCGGAAAAAAAATAATTCAAACCCAACGGTCAACTGATATCAGCTAGCCGTTGGATTCAAATGTTTGGCCCGGTTCGAGGTTGGCTGGCTGGCTAGCTGGGTTGGGCTAGCTGGTTGGCCCATTTCTCTTTTTTTGGCCCAATGGGACCCACGAGCCCTTTAGCCTAGCCCTCGGTTGGAGATGATTTTCGTGTCATTTCAAGCTATTTTCGGCCCTATGGTCCTCTAGCCGGATCAGTTGGAGATGGCCTAAGAGACTTATAGAAAGATTAGGGAGGTGGGGATGGGTGAGAAGGGGAGGGTGGTGGATGGTGATGGTTTGAGTGGACTTGGTGTGGTTTGGGTGAACTTTGGTTGAGGCTGGTACATTATGGTGGAGACTCAGTCTGGGCTCGAGTAGGCAAGTGTAGAGTGGACTTAGCGTGATTTACTGACACCATCATTTTACGAATTTCAAATGAAATATTGACAACAAACCGCTCAAACATTTTCAAATCAAATATTGACGACAAACCGATAAAAAATTAACCACGTATCTAGAGAGGTTCTTAGAAAGACTTTGAGGACAAAATGCAGCATCAACTAAGACACAAAAAAATGATAAATGATGGAATCATAGGGACGAGGTTTAGAAGCCTTAGGTGTTGACTCAATTCCGGAACATATTCTCAAATCCTAACACATCCCACAAAAAATTAAACACAAAGACAAAGTCTTACGCACAACGCATGTTGATTTCAAGTTTTCAACCGTCGACGTCGTATACCGAATCAAGGGGAGAAGAGGTCAGAGAGTTTGTAACATTCTAATGCGTAAATTATTCTAAAAGAAAGGAATTAATCAACATCTTGAACTAAGTCAAGTTCTACAAAGAATTAAAGAATAGGGCTGCAACAATTATACAAGTCAATGACTAAGCTCGATCTACCTTCTATGGGCGTTAAAAAACTTGCAGCTACGATGTGTTAAATAATTTAGCATAGATATGGCTACTACGAAGTCCAAACACGTTGATCTTTCTGATGTACCACCTCTCGTTAAGCCGAAAATCATAAGTAAGGTCTCAATTGGACTACCATCACGCTAATGTCGTCCCAAGAGCCGCGTGATTTGGATAGTTCTATTAGCTTTTTGCAAGCCACCAAAGGTTGCCCGTCAGCGCCTAAGCATGAAGGACGAACAACATCCACTGCTTCTTGGTTGCTAACCTGAAACCAAAGAAATAAATCCAATTTAGTTGATGGGGACTAATTTGATCCAAATAGTATGTATGGAACTCGATTGATTCAAAAGCAAAATCATGACAAGGGGATTAATATACCTTATCCCATAATCCATCTGAGGCCATGATTATGAACTCGTGTTCGGGTTTGATTCTGAGTACTTTGGTCTCTGGGTCTGGAATTACATATTGTTTAAGGTGCCTATCTCCGATTCCTCTGGATACAGCTAGAGACCCCTGAATTCTCCAAACACCACGGCATAAATCGACATATCCACCCTACAAAAGCAAATTCACCGTAACTATCAATCCCAATTCGAATAAGGTTTTATCTGAAGTAACCATAATGTATAACAATTTGGTAGAGAAAAACTCAAATGCTAACCAAGTTCTCAATTCTGGCTTTCTCGTCTTCCCTTGATGGCCGATGATCAGATGTGAGGGCCTCAGCAGCACCTCCACTGCTCAAGACAGCACGACAATCGCCAGCATTGGACACAACCAAGTTACCGTTCCTGATCAAAGCCGTCAAAGAGCATGATCCACCACGAAAATCCTCTTTAAGAAACTCAGAGTCCGTATTCAGATAACCATGCTTAATTGCCTCCTCAATTTCATTCATCATCACCCCTCCTCGCAACTTCATCTAAAATGTTCTTTGACAAGTTCTCTGCTGCAAACTCGGCAGCTTTTACACCTCCATGCCCATCAAATATACCAAAAATCGCCTGCAGAAATAAGGTTTCAGCATTTCAAATTCCAATTATCAAACCGCTAATTCGACTAACTACAATCAGTAGAGTCGTAAAACATGAAGCACCATTCTGCTTTAACAGATCAAAATATTCTATATATTCCCCAAATTCCTAACATAGAATTCAAATTCCACCATTTCAGAAAAGGGTTTAAAATTCTCCATCATTTCAGATGATAGAACAACTAATAACATAGAATTTTAATTAAAAATTAAAAATTAAAAATTAAACTAAATTTGTTATAGTTTATATGAAAACCCCAACCTGATTTCTCACAATTCTGCACAAAGCTTTCAAATTTCCCAAAATTATACATAAAGCATTCGAATTTCTCAAAATTCAGCTCAATAACTAAAACAAATTAATCCCAATTAAAAAAATTAAGAAAAAAAGAGAGCAACTTTAGAATTACCTGTTTGGAATCACCTTCAAGATTAAGACTAGCTGAGTAGCGATCCTCCAAAGCCTCTCTCCTCCCTCTCTTGCAACACACGTGGTAGTACCCTTCTCTATCTTCCTCCATCACATCTCTCCAACCGGCCGTCGTCGGCGTCGGCGGAGCAGTCCCAAATCCCGAGGATACCACCGGAATACAAAGCTTCGCCGGCCTCTTCCTCTTCAGCTGCGTCACTGGAGACCCCGGACCCGAACACGACAACCCGCTCGGCGGATTCGGGATCCGAATCCGAAACGGCGACGACGGAGACGAACACGAAGCCAATCCTGACGGCGATAAGGCCGACGGCGGCGGAGGTAAAGTTAGGGTTTCTGGGGCCGGAGAGATCATGGAGGATTTGTTGCAGAACAGAGACGACGGCGGAGAAAACATCGGCGAGTTAGCAACTGCGACGGAGCACGACATGTTTACCCTTTTCGGTTTTATTTTTCCGATACCAAAGCCAGTTTGTGCTTCTTTTTTTTCTTCCTTTTCCGATTTTTCTGCGTTTGTTTGGATTTAAAATTTTCGTTGAAGAGAATTTTGAATATATAAAGGTGGCTCCTCGGGGTGGGGTCCACGCATTATTCCGTGTTTGTGGGGCCCCTAATGGGCTGTTTTTAAACAGTGTTTTGACCAGTTATATGGGGCACTAGTTCTAGAATGTCGATTTTGCCCCTCTTTGGATTTGCTTTGACTTCGGTCGTTGCTTGAGATTAAAGTTTTGGTTATTCAACAATTTCATCTTATTTTAAGAGGTGTGTTAGCCACACACCCCAAATTACTTCTCACATACCTTGTTAATTTCTATTCGTTGATCTTTTTCAATTCATCTGATCCGATGGCCGAAAATTAGAAGGGTGTGTGAGAAATAAAATGGAGTGTGTGGAAAGTAAAATGGGGTATGTGGATATTACATCCTTATTTTAATTGGAATTTCCTTTGTTCCATTTTGGACAAACATGCATTTTATGGAGTTTTGGTGGACGTCTACGAACTCCTTGTAAATATTAAGTGAATTCTCTATGCTATTTCGCGAGAAGACTGAATTTGTTAAAGCTTAAAAGTTATTATTAATCATGTTCAACGTTTGTTAACATGTTATCTTAGTCATGGTTATTAACTTATCTAGAATTATTTAAGTTTCTTTTTAATAGGTAACCCAATCACTCATTAAATCATGGTATTGGAGTCTGGTTAATCATGCTTTCCTCTTTCTTTGTTTTCTCTAGAATTTATACATATATGTAAAACCAATGAATTAGCACTATAATCAGTATACACATTTTCTTCATCATCTTTACTCTGGCGGGGGAGTGCATGATTAATGTTTTGTAGATCTGATAATAGTTGGTTAGCTCCATTCCGTGAATTACAATACATTGGGAACAATTCAGGCTCCAAGTTCGTT